TCTTCCTCTGCATGTTGTTGTTAAGTACCATGGAGTCAGATAGTGACCCTGTACAGGGTTTCCAAGGCTGTTAATCTTTATGGGAGTAGAAAGCCTCATCTTCATCCTGCAGAATGGCTGGTAGTTTCAAACTGCCAACCTTAAGGTTAGCAGCCCGATTCCTAACCACTGCGCTACCAGAGCTCCTTGTTCTGCATAGGGTACTGTAAACCTAGGGATGCTCAGCCAACAGTTCACCAGCAAAGTCCTGCCAGCTTCCCTTTGGAGATCAATACACCTCCAGCACACAGAGAATGATGAGAACATACTTGGCCCATCAGAGATCTTCACCAGCCTCTTCATCCAGGCCACCCAGGTCTCTGAAGGATGCTGTTATTGGATATGGACTTGTTGTTGTTGTGATGTGTTGTGGAGTCAGTTCCAACTCATAGCGACCCTGTACAGGGTTTTCGAGGCTGTAAATCTTTATGGGAGCAAAAAGCCTCCTCATCTTTCTCCCACAGAACAGTTGGTAGTTTCGAACTGCTGACCGTGAGGTTCGCAGCCTGATTCATAACCACTACACTACCAGAGTGTTGTTGTTAAGTGCCATTGAGTCGGTTCCAACCCATAGCAACCCTGTATAAGGTTTCTGAGGAGCAGCTGGTGAGCTTGAACTACCGACCTTGCAATTCAAAGGGCTTTGCAGTCTGGTGCATTAACCCACAGTGCCAGTATGCTACCAGAGTAGGGGGTAGGATAAGAATTAAACAAGACTGGACCACACCAGGACTATTTCATCTTCAAACAAGAATGTAAAATGGGTTGGCACGAAGATCCCGGAGCCACAGCTGTCCAGTTTTCTATCTGTCCAGTGAATCGGCAATGCTGAAGTCATCATTGTTGCCCCCACCTCTATAGGGAGAACAGTAGCCACAAACTGGGCCCCAGACTCCCCGAGGAGGGTGCAGCACCTGTCAGTCACAGTCCCTCTGAATTCAGCTCAGTCCAGCAATCTTTCCTGGTTCCAATGACTTGAAGGAGGCCAGGTCAGTTTGGGATGTAAAGTGCTATATTCACCTCTCTAGAGAATATGGCCACTGTTGGTGGGCAGAAAGAACAAAGAGCTCCCAGCATTGTTAAGAGAAAGCTTCACTCAGAAAAGGAATTTAACTCAGCTCTGAGAATGATATTCAAAATACTGAAATACTGGTACAGCCTGGGTACTCAGCAGACATGATGTGCCCTCAGAGGAACTGGAGGCTTCCTGTTCAGCACCATAGTACCCCTTAATAGATGGCTGTTGTTGTTGTTGCTGTTACGTACCATGGAGTTGGTTCCGACTCATAGTGACCCTGCATAGGGTTTCCGAGGCTGTTACTCTTTAGGAGCAGAAAGCCTCAACTTTCTCCCACAGAACAGCTGGTAGTTTAGAACTGATGACCGTGAGATTAACAGCCCGATTTGTAACCACTACACTACCAGAAGATGAAAAGGGGTACAGTGTGGGCTACTAATGACCAACAGGTACATTCAGGATGAACTGGTGCCTTGGGACCAAGGGTATTAAGAAATACAATTCTTTCTTCTCTCTTCCTCTAACATCTTATTTTTGCTGCTGTTAAATGCTGTTAAATGAATGTGTTAAATGTCTGCTTTTTCCTATGCTTTCAATTCAATGCAACTAAGATAGCACTGCACTGCTAACCACAAGGTCAGAGGTTCAAATTCATCATCTGCTCCTGGGAAATGCTATACAGGATCACTATGAGTCGAAGCCAACAGAAAGGCACTCAGCAACAAGATAACAAAGCAGTAGAGAGACTCCATCCTGGATCAGAAATGGGGGTAAATCAGTCACTGTATCTTCTAATAGTAATCATGAAACACAAACCAAATCTACTGCCATGAAGTCAATTCTGACTCACAACAAACCTATATGAGGTTTACACACTCATCTTTCTCCCAAGGAGCAGCTGGTGATTTTGAACCCTGGACATTTCCGTTAGCAGCCAAACAAAGCCTAAGCCACAGTGCCACCAAGGCTCCTTCATTATAACTACTATTTTCATGTTACAGGCAAAACAAAATAACTGAGGCACAGAGAGAAGTGAGGAAAGTCTCCTAAAGTCACACAGGTGCTAAAGTCAGAACACTGTCTGTGCTAGTGTAAAGTCAGAACGCTGTGCTCTGCTGCCTCCGTAGACACTGTGCTAGTGAATAGAACTGCAGAGGTGGGGAAGTCTTTATGCAAGAGGAGTATCTGAGCTAGAGATAGACTCGATGTCATCAGTCCAGAAAGGGATCTCAAATGGGCTGTTGCCGTTAAATGCTGTCAAGTCGATTCCAACTCATAGCAACCCTGTATAAGGTTTCTGAGGAATGGCTGGTGAGCTTGAACCGCTGACCTTATGGTTCAAACCAACCTTACAGTCCAACGCATTAGCCCATACTGTGAGCCAAATCTAAACTAGATGGTCCAAGAAGGAAAGAGAGAAAAACGGCTGGAAAGATGGGCTGGTCTGTGGGGCACATATCCTTAGTTAGGTGATGGGGTTAAAACAATATTTTAAGGAAATCAGTCTGGTTGATATCTGTAAAGTTAGTAACGACACAGGTGGTGAGGAACCAAAGAAGGAACAGGGCAGTGAGAAAGGACAAAGGTGATGAGCAATAGGAGTCCTGGAGAGGTGCTGTAGGATAAGCACTGGACCGTCAGGTCAGTTTGAACTGCAAGGTTGGCTCTAATACTTGCTGCCATTGACTAGCATCACCAAGTGACAGTATTTAAATATTCATCTCACTCCAGCGTCACAGCAGAACAGTTAATATTATTCTCATTTTCAAATGAGTTAATCAATGGTAACAAAAGACTAAGTGAATTTACACTGCGAGTAAACAACAGACTTGGGATTTGAAGGCTGGCCCTGGGCTGAACCCATTGAATCAATGGAACCATTTTTTTCTGTGCCACCGTTTTAGAGCCTTTAACTTTGGGGGACAACAGGGTACAGTGTAAGTCCAGACAACGCCAACAGCAAGCTGGCTACTGCAGAGGTTAATGGAGAAGAGTCAATGACAGCTGGTTTCTGTCTCCTCTGCCTGTTAGCTGTCTGCCAGACACTCTGCTTCCACTTTTATTCTTCTAGACTGTTTTCCATGCCTCAGGTACACTGAGTCTTCTGTACCCAAAACCCTCCAAAGGGCTTCCTACCTTTGTTGTTGTTATTAAGTGCCATTGAGTCGGTTCTGACCCATAGAGACCCTGTATAGGGTATCTGATGAACAGCTGGTGAGCTTGAACTGCCAACCTTGCAGTTCAAACAGCTTTGCAGTCTGGTGCATTGGGCAGCACATAATACAAATGAGATCCTTGTTGGGTCCTTCATGATCTGCCCTTCCTCTGCCCTGTCACCTGAACTCATCTCTTACCTTCCTCTCCCTGATTGCTACTTAACAAGCCACGCTCCTCTTCCTATTTCTAAAACTCACCAAAGATGTTCCTTACACATCATTTCCCTGATATACACAAGACTCCCTCCCCATCACTTCCTTCAGATCTCTAGTGATGTGTCACCTTTATAGCACAGCTATCCCTAAATACCTATCAAAAACATCACACTCTAAGTTCCAGGCTGGGAATTCCCTCCATGGCTGATAACTCCCTCTTTGGGTGATCAAGTGGAAAAATATGCATCGTACTCTATGCAATGAAATATACAACTCCTGGAATATAAAACTAGACCCTTCGTCTATCTACCATGCAAAGAGAGAGGGTATGCATGAAAGTTCATGATGGAAATTTTCCTATTGTATGCCGTCTTTAGTAAGTGTTGCCAAAACAATAATGATAATTAACACTCTTCCTTCCCTTCACTGACCTCTTTGTCCCTTACCCTCTATACCACTTAGAAGCCCAACAGCCGCCTTCCTTTGTCTGTTTACTGTTGTTCTCTCCTCACTAAGCTATAAGCTCCATGAAATCATCCTTTGTACTATCGCCAACATCTGGCCCAATGCCTAGTATATACGAAAACCCAAACCAATCTGCTGCCACAGAGTCAATTGTGACTCAGAGCAACCCTGTAGGACAATGTAGAACTTAGAGCTTCCAAGGCCTCATGGAGTTTCCAAGGCTATAATGGAGTCCTGGTGTACTACTGTAGGATAAGCACTAGACAGTTAACCACACAAGGTCAACAGTTCAATCCCACCAGCCGCTCCTTGGAAATCCTATGAGGTTGAACTGACTCAACGGCATTTGAAAACATGTTTACAGAAACAAACTGCCATATCTTAAACATGGTGGATTTGAACTCCCAACCTTTCGGTTAGCAGCCTAGTGCTTAACCACTGTACCACTAGGACTCCTTATCCAACACATATTAAGTGTTTATTACAGAATGATTAAGTGAGTAGATTTATGAACTGACTACAGAAACTATATCAACAGGAAGTTCATGCAACAGAAACTAAAGGGCTCTGAGAGGTTGGTCGTTAAGTCAGCTTGAGGCAGAGGGTCAGGGGGTGAAGCAGGGAATGTTAGCTACAGTGAGAAGAGTCAGAGAGAGGATGACTAAGACACAGTCACTTGGTGACCAAAAGAAGACACTGCCACTACATTGGTGGAATCAGCATAAGACAGACACATGACTTTGTGAGGGGGAGGATATGAAAATTCCCCTGGAGTTTAGCTTTTAAATCTATGTCTGCAGTGGGAAATGACCAGGTAGTCACTTAAGAGCAATGGGCTTTTCAGAGTCCCTGGATGGTGCAAATAGTTAATTCACTCAGCTACTAACAAAAAAGTTGGAAGCTCATGCCCACCCAGAGGCACGTCAGAAGGAAAACCTGCCAATCTACTTCCATTGCAAACCCTACAAAGCGCAGCTCTATTCTAACACATATGCCGTTCCCACTGACTCAAAGTCCACTCAATGGTAACTGGTTTAAACAAAGATGGAGATGACCATTTAAGTCAATGGCATTGTCAGTTTAAAAGTTAAAAACTGAATACTTACAGTTCTGGGTTCAAATGTATACAGAGCTCTGAAGACTTTAACTTGTCCTAAAAGAGAGGAAGGGGCATACAATCAATTCATTCATTTCTGAATTTGCTCTAAATGACATTATTCATTCCAACCCTCAGAATTCCCTAATTAAAACCCCTTGTGAGAAATTTATTTTATAATTAAGTGCTTTCTACCTAGAAGGTATTTTTAAATTGTGTTAAATGAATAATAAACACACTACTTTGCTTCCTCCTTTCTAGTAGCAAGAGTTACAGAATTCATCATACTTACCTTCTTGTCACACAAATAGTCTCTCCAATCTTAAATATAAAAGTGAGCATCTTAACACAAAAAGATACTAACGTGGCAATCTCCAGTGTATGTTGTCTCGTGGCTAAGAGCCATCAAGTCAGTTCCAACTCATAGCAAACCTGTGTAGGGTTTTCTGAGGAGTGGTTGGTGGGTTTGAACCATTGACCTTGCAGTTAGCAGTCCAGTGCTTTTCCTACAACGCCACACCAGGACTCCTTTTAGTATTCTTAAATGAGTGGCTTAGGAATTTTTTTTTTTCCCCCAAAACAAAGAAAAAAATACCATGGAAGAAAGAAGTACCTCTATGAGGAACATGTGATTCCAGAAAGTCCCAAGATAAATAAGAGGGTGTAATAACTAAGCAAAGAGAAAGTATAATGGATTTGCCTCCATTATACTAACCTTTCTGTATATGTTCTTCTTTCGAGTTTCCATAACCCTCTGTGCCTGAGCTCTCTACTGCTGCGGTAACAGAAATGCCACAAGTGGATGGCTTTAACAGAAATTTAATCTCTCACAGTTTTATTCTCTCAAATCAGTTATGACTCATAGCAACTCCATATAGGTTTCCAAGGAACGGCTGGTGAGTTTGAATCGCCGGCTTTGCGGTTCAAACCAACCTTGTGGTCCAGTGCTTATTCTACAGTGCCACACCAGGACTCTAGGAGTTTGAACTCAGAGTACCAGCTCTTGAGGAAGGCTATCTCTGTCTCCTGGTCCTCATTGGTTCTCAGAGCAGCAACCCTCAGGTCCAAAGGATGCCCATCACTCTCTGGTTTTTTCTTGATGATCGTAGGTCTCGTTCTCTCTGCTTGCTTCTCTTTTCTCTTAAGATAAAAAGTGATGCAGGTCTTACCATAGAAACCTTGTAAGTCCGTCTTCTGCCTATAACTGATTGGAATACTTAAAATGGGGACTACAACGTGCCCAGTGAAGGAGGCTTCCTGTGGATCCTCTGCAATACATAAGACTATAGGTGGAAGCCTGAACCACACCCAGATCTCCAGAGATGGGAAATTCCCACTTGAAAGGACAAGCAGACCAACCTGGAGTGGCTAGAAGAACAGAAGATACTACTTGAAAGAAAGACCT